AGGTGTTCAGGGAATTCAAGGGGGTCCTCAGCCTCGGGGCCCCTGTCGAGCGGAGCCTCTCCGTCAGCCGAGGGAATCGTGACCGACAACTCCCTGGATCGGATCTCCGTGAAGTCTAGACGAGCAAGAGCCGACAACGTTTCCTTACTGATGAGTTTCCCAGGGAATCGTGCAATGTGCGCGCAGATCTGTCCCTCGTCCATCCGCTCGGCGGCCTGTTGAAAGTCTTCCTGTAGCCGAACGAGCCATGGAGACGCATGCGGCAGTAAAACTTGATTACCAGAGAGCGCTGTACCTCCTGGATCAAGTGGCATCGCACCGAAAAACAATCACAACTCCTGCGTGTGAGACTCTGGGCGAAGGGCCCAGCTGCGATACCAGCCCAACCTGCGAACAAGAAGTTCTGTGGCAGAACTTGCTGGGCGCCAATGCTGCATGACCTGTTTGTTTGTGAGCGTCCTCATCTTCCCCTCCTCCTTGCTGATCACCGCCTTCCCCTGCATCGCCCTCCTCCCATATCTAGCTATAAGTGCGTCCAATTATCGATAATGTTTGGCGGTCAACAGCATTGGTTCTAGGCCCGCCAGCGCGGCATTCTGAACAAAACTGAGACATAGGGTCCGCTTCCAGCGGAACGGCACTGATAAACTCCATACCTGACCGAGCGAATAGTAGGCCTCAGCAGCGGCCTGGATCCGACGACGAACTTCTATAAATGCCGTTTGCTGCAGATTAATTCTAGGTCCCAGGTAACGAACGTCCTCCTGAACTTCTCCCGAGATCCTCGAACGCCCCGCCCCCCGCACCCACTGCCGACATTTCACCGCCCCTGGTCCCTGGAAACATAGTCGCAGCTCCTGTGTCGAAACATTCTGGGCGCACCCGTACTCCTGCAACTCCTCCGAAAGCGCCTCATCCGCCTCCCTCAGGACCGAAAGAAACTCTCCCACCGTGGAAAAATTGGCTGCAACATGGGCTCTGAAAAGGTCGTCGGCGTACAAGCTCGTACCAACGTCCGCCCTGAGCTCCCTCCAGTGCGCGATCAACTCCTTCGAATGGGGGTCGATCTGGCGGAGCCGCCAGAGCCACTTCATAATTGGCCTAGAGAACGTGCCTCTGAAAAGTGTAACTACGTACGGGTCCCCCATCGCGCCACCCTCGCCCGACTTCAAGTAGACCCCCCCTTCCAGAGACTCCAGTCGCACCACGCTACTCTTAAAGCGCTGAATACATAAGTCTATGTTCTCGGGGGCCGCGTGTAAGTTTACCGTGTGAGTCACCTCTTCCCAGGACCCGCACGCAAAAGCATTCGTCATGTCCCTATAAGTGCAAGCGAAACTATGCCCCGCCCGACGGAGTCGCCAACTGAGAAGATGCACTACTAGAATCGCATCCTCTCGCCTACGGCCACGGCAACACCCATGCTCGATCAACATCGGGGGCACATACAAAAGACTTGAATAGAAAGCCTTCCCGAACGTGGGCAAAACGTGAACCGTTCTCCTTCCCGAAGGTCCTGGCTTCGCGTTTTGTTCCGTAGTTGTGCCCCCGAACTACAGTGCCATCTCATCGGTGTCCTATTCGTTGCCCTGATCAAGCGAAGCCCCCCTTCCAAGATTCTCCCGAACAAGTTCATCTCTGGAAACTCCTGCTGGAAGCCCAAACCCTGCCCCTCCGTGCTGATATTTGCCATCGGCCGTAGGCAAAGAAGCCATAGTTCAGCTGGTGTCGTGCCCGTCGGCACTGCCCGACGCTTCGTGGCCGAGCGAAAATACTTGGTCACCCGCTGATTGTCTTCCTCTGCCAAGATACAATCTTCTGCCGAAATATGCGGTGTAGGGCCTGCAGGAAAAGACCCCAACCATTCCTCATAATCTGGAATAACAGATGCTGACATTCCACCTTCACAGCCGGCTTGCGACCAATGGTTGATCAAGACCTCTGACGTGAGATGACCTCCACGAAGCAGCCTGCCGTCGCGACGCTTTGGACCATAACGACAATGAGCTGCTGCACGTGATAGCCGCATCGCTTCGGCCATGCGACGTCGTCCCCAAGCCTCCTCGATTTCCTCAAGTGGGCCCTGCTGTCGAACTCGAGCAAAATGCTGCCGCCGACGTCGTAACTTCTGACTTAGCTGCGCCAATCTCGATTCACATTCTGCCAGTGCTTCGTCCTCCTCGTCCATACCCACGCGCGATCGACGAAGGCGAGCTCGCTCCCGAAGAAGTTCGGCCCGCTCCGAAGCCTCCTGCCGATGCAAGGGGTCGCTGGACACCTGGTGACCAAAGTACTGCTGCCCCACCTTCACGAGAGTGTCCTCCATATGTTTGAAGATCTCGTCAGGTCGGCCCATGGGCAACATAGCCCTCCATGTGTCCTCGCTCTCGTTCAACGACGCCTCTACTGCCGAAAGAAACTCACCCCGACGATGTCCTTGTCGTAGGCATCTCATCACATCATCAAGATTCCAGCGCATTCGAGTCTCCGTCGAGTTTGCTTCCCGTTCCAGTGGCTGCATACCCTGCAACTCCACGTATAAGGGGACATGGTCCCGTGGTGGTGGCCCTCGATAGGCCTGTAATTCTGCACCCAATCCAAATAAAGGAGAACATCTTGAAACCACGTCAATCATCCCAGTCGGAAGAAAAAGATAATCGATACAATTGCTTACGCCCTTCGCGCCGTACCATGTGTGCTCCAGCTTGTCCTTCAGCGTGTTCATCGCGAACATGTGTTGCCGTTGGTTGATGAGCCTGAATACTTCACCAGCTCCTCCTCGACGTTGTTCTCTGCACCTTCCCTCGCCCACCGCAGTTGACTCAATACTCGCCCACTTGCCCGAGATTCGTGGGATCCCCTGGCCATCATTGAGGTCCACGTACACCAACGGTATACAACGGCACGGCAAGCTTTGAAGTATGTTCTCGTACCATGATCCAATCAACTTCACCGTGGCCATGTACTGGGGCTGCTCCGCTGCGTATTTAGGTTGGGGTGGTGGATACATCGCCGCTGCAGCTAAGTCCAACGGACCCCGACGAATACGAGCAGCGACAGCCCGACCTCCAGCCTCTGGTGGACTAGCCCAAACTTGTCTCACGTGCTTCTCGTTAAACTTGCTACCTAAGATGATCGCGCATCCCGTCGGCTTATTAGAGAACTGCGATGTCGTCGCCTCGGCTTCCAAGATGAACCGATGTTGTACACGAGTGGTGAGCACCTCTTCTGCTCGACGGTGACTCCTCTGGGTGCCCGCCAGCATCACCAAATCCATGTTCGCGCAGCTCTGGACGATCTCATGCATCCTGGTGCCCGTGGCGGACATCGGGTTGAACCCGAGTGCGCGCAGCACCCACTGGCCCACGGGCCGCACCATCGCGCGCGCTCTCGCCCGCCTGGTGCCCAGCGGGAGGCCTCGTGGCCTGCCTCCCCCTGCCGCCCGTCGCTCCCTTGTGCCAGAGCGGCGGCTGGAGGAGGAGGAGGAGGAGGAGGAGGAGGAGGAGGAGGAGGAGGAGGAGGAGGAGGAGGAGGAGGAGGAGTAGGAAGAAGTCGGGGGAGGAGGAAACGCAGGAGGCAGGAGAAGTACGGATGAGGAGGGAGCAGGGATGATAAGGAGGGAAGATGAGGAGCAGGATGAGACGGAGGGGGAGGTGGATGAGGAGGATTATAAGACCAACGAATCAGGAGGCTGTCCTTCGACTTCCGTTTCCGGGGTCCTGTTTCGGGATGCAGTGAATGCCGCATATCTATCCTCCAATGTGGAATCCGCGAGGTGTCCAGCGACCGATTTTGAGCGAGGAGGTGGAGGGGGAAGGATTAGGGGCACCGAGGAAGGGGGCGGAGAAGGAGAAGAGGGGCTGGAGGACGAGTCAGGTGGAGGCAGCAGGAGGAAGAGGACGGATAAGGATGAGGAGGATAATGCTGGAGAGGGAGGAGGAGGAGAAGGAAGAGCCATAAGGAGAATTTAGGAAGAGGACGACGAGGCAGAAAGTTGAGGGAGAGTGGGACCATATGAGACGAGGAAACGTGATCCAGAAAGAGGTAGACAGGATGAGGACGATGAGGAAGGACCAAAGACCAGGGGGAGGCCTCCAAGAGGCTCCCAGAGGTTTCTATGTTGAGCAGGGTTGGCTAATGTGTTGCGCTGCATGCTTGTATACTTCTCTTCTCCAGCCTCTTCGCCTGGACATAATTTCTGGATGGTCAGCTGTAGATGCGCGAAACGGAAATGTTAACGTTCGCCCATCAACCTCCTGGGGACTGAATCGCGTGAGCTTCTTCAAACAAAATAAACCAAGGGGGGCAACCGAACTGCCACTGGACTTTGCCCCCGCCCCCCCCCCCCGGGTCTTCACGCCCCTTAAGCCCCTGCTCCTTCCTACTCCTCGTCCTTCCTCCCCCGATGTTCCCCCTCCCCCTCCCCTCCTCCTCGCTCCTCGCTCGTCCTCCTCCTTCCTCCCTCCCTCCTCCTCCTCCTCCTCCTCCTCCTCCTCCTCCTCCTCCTCCTCCTCCTGCTTCATCTGCCTCGGAAGTGTCTCCCATTTTTGGTTTTCGTCCTCGCTGTGCTTCTGGAAACACTCGCGCGCATAGAAAAATTGCTCCTGCCCCGTCGCCAGCCACCGACTCGCGGGCCGCAGAACGGATGAGGGCCAGCTGAGATCACGGCGGCCCTCCTGGGCAGCCCCCCGCTCAGAATCGGTCCCCGGACCCCTCCTGAGGTCCACACTGACCCGTTTGCGGAGGCGGCTCCAGCCGTGGCGATGAGAAGACTCTAGGAGGTCCAGAATAGAAGCACGGAAGACGCCAGGGAGGGGCAGCCGTTGCGTCGACATGGTCCTCCTGCGAGCACAGGTTCGCCGACCAGTCCAAAAGTCCTCGGGAGGTCGCCGAAGGTCCCCGAAGGTCCGAAGGCCATCGGAGGCCTCCTCCAGAGGCCCCCGGCTCGAGGCACCACAAGGGCCAAGAGCGTCCAAAAACCCCGCGCCGACCTCAGGGCTTCATCGGCTCCTGAGCTCGTTGATCGCGTCCCCTGCAATGTTCGCGATCGCCTTGTCGTCCGCACGGGGCAGGTAGTAGTAGCGGCCGTCGGCGCGGTCCGACACCTTCTTGGCGATGCCCGAAGACACATACTTGTTCTCCGTGTCGATGAGCAGGAACTTGAAGCCCATGGCGCGGATCCTGTCAGCCATCACGAATACCTCCTCCTGCAGCTCTTCCTTCGGGATCTTCTTCATGCGGCCGTTCTCGTCCAGTGCCATTTCGTCGCCCTCGCTTGCCATTGTGGGAGTGGGGGTGCTGAAGGACAGGGGCTCTGGTCCCCAGGGCTCCCCCCGGACCAAGCTGCTCATCCTGAACCGTTGCTCACAGCCTCGCGGCATGGAAACTGCTGCAAGATACTGAAAGCGGCGAACAATCTCAGGACCCATTTCCCTCCTGACACTCCTCCCCGCTGCGATCCTCCCAGATTCGCTTACATTCGGTCCCAGACCCTCCCGGGGTCCATCCTGCCCAATTTTTCCAGCTGGGCCAAGCCGTGGCGACGGGAACCCGCCGGCACGCCCAGAAGCCTCAGGGCCCCCCTTTCATCGCGCCGACCTCGCTGACTGCCAACGGCACGTTCGCCCGCCCGTCGGTGATGGAAACGATGCAGACGCTGCCCACGTCCGAAGTCTTCAGCGCGTTGGTGCCCAGCAGGATGGCCTGCTGGAGCCGACGGCCCCCGATGGGGCCGCCGACTAACGCCGCCGAGAGGCCGCCGAAGGGCCGCCGAGGGCCGCATGGTTGCCACCGATGGGCCGCCCCGTGGCCGCCGAAAAGCCGCCGGGTGGCCGCCGACTGGCCGCCGACGGCCGCCGAGGGGGCCGCTGGGGAGCCGCCGGAGGGCCACCGACGGCCGCCAAGGGGCTCGCCGAAGGGCCACCGACGGGGCCGCTGGGGGGGCGCCGAGGGGCCACGGACGGCCACCAAGGGGGCCGCCGAAGACGAAGAGCCGCCAAAGGGCCGTCGAAGGGCTGTTGGGTCACCGCCGAGGAGCCGCCGACGGGCCTGTTGGAGCGCGTGGGCCAGCGGCGTGCCCCCGCCGCACGGCAGGACCTGCATGCTGGAGCTGGCGCGCGACACTGAAGACGTCGGCGGCACCAGCACGTCCGCGCTGATGCCGCGGCAGGGGATGAGGGCGACCTCCAACGACGACGGCGGCGGCGACGTCGACTTTCGACGGCGAACTCGGAAATGGTGGCGACGACGACGAAATCGACGTCGAGAGCTCTGAACTAGATCCACACATGATCACGTGATCCTTCAACGAGAAATAACGATCGGTATAACAACCCTACCCAGCAGATGCGCCATACGTAAAAAACCATTTGTGTATGTAACACACAAACATGTATACGCATATCCCCACACGTCGCGTTTGCGCGTGAGGTCTTCCCTCGTGTTGCCAAGGAATTATATCAGTCCGCCGAGAGGTTGCCACGTGTCCACCTGGTGCCACCTCGTCCGCGGCACGTTTGGAGGCTCCGCCGAGGTTTCGCCACATTGCCGCCCATTGCCTCATCGTTGCTGCCCTCCGCGCTTTGCGGGTCCGCGGAGGTTTCGCCACGTTGCCGCCTGGTGCCGTCTCGTTGCCGCCGCGCTCGGGGGGTCCGCTGAGGTTTCGCAGCGTTCCCGCCAGTTGTCGCCTCGTTGCCGCCTCGTTGCTACCTCGCCACATAGCTTACACCAAGTAGCTTGCACCACATATATCATTTGTCGGACGAGCGGGCTCGGGCAACGTGCGCGACCGCAGGCGCCCGGAGGTGGCGCCTGACTTAACCGGGCATCTTTGCCAACTGCGCGATGCGGCGCGCAGCAAGAGCGGCGAATTCAGCTGCGCTGCCCCCGACGCAGCGCAGGCTGCCCAGGAGCAGCAGCGCCAGCCCTCGCGATGGTAAGCGCTCCAGCGCTCCTGTCACCCTGGGCACGCGCCTCCCAGCATGGCCACCGCGGTCCTGGCGTCGCCACCCCACCGTAGGCCCTGTTGCGAGAGACTAAGAGACTACGGCGCGCGGCGAGCATGGCGCCAGCGCTGACGGGGTCGGCGCTGCCGCCCCAGCGCGGCTGGGCCGCCTGCGGGGCCGCGCGGGCCGGGCCGGGCGGGGCGGGGCCTGCTGGGGCGGAGGCCGCGCGAGCACGAGCCCCGCGGCGGTAAGCGCGCCAGATGCGCTGGCCGCGGCGCTTGCGCGCTGGAGCTGCCGCACGAACCGCTTGATGGGCAGCACCTTGCACTGGCTGCGCCGCCTCCAGCAAATCCAGCTCCCTGCGGCGGGCGCGCGCTAGCTCGCCAAGCACGGCCCGCTGCGCAGCGGCGGCGCCAGCGTTGCCGTCAACCGCGGCGTTGCCGAGGCGGTCGCGTTCGCTCAAGCCCAGGAGCCGCGCCTCAGCTGGCAGTTTTGCGCGGCGGTGCCAAGCGGGCCCACGGCCGCTCCATGCGCGCAGCGCCCGCCAGCCACAGCCACAGATCGGCGTGCTCCCAGTCGCGCACGTCGGCGCCCGCTGCGATCCAGGCGCAAAACCGCGCGACGTACTGGCTGTCGGAGGCCATGTCGACGGAGACCTCGACGACGCGCGCCTCCGCCACTGCAACTGTCACCTCGGCCCGCTGGGCAATCTGCAGACCGTCAACCCGACCAGCGAGGTTCGGGTTTGCGAGCCCCGCGCACCGCAGCCCCAACGCCGCTCGCGCCAGCAGGGGGCCGGCCAAATGGAGGCAGGCGCTGTCGCAATGGCGGCGAGTAGCCGCGGCGTCGCGAGGGCCCCAGACGCGGCGACGCTGGCGGCAGCAGCTGCCGCAAAGCCCCGCCGTCCCCCAGCAGCGTCTCCGTCCGTGGCGCCGCGGCCAGCGCGGCACGGCCAGGCACTCGGAGAGCTGCGCAAGTGTGGAGCCGCTGGGGGGCCAGCGCCTCGAAGGGGGCCTCCTCGGGAGGTCGGGCCGCCAGCTCGGGCCGCAGGGGCTGTACCAGGGGCCAGCCACCAGCTCGCGACCAGAACGCCAGCGAAGCTCCCCAAAGTGGCAGGCCAAGAGTTCGAACTCGCATGAGCTGGACGGAGGCCTGCCTCCCAGAAGCAAAGACTTGAGCCGCGCAGCAGCGGACACGCAGTGGCGACGGCCTTCCGAGATTCTGGAGATCATCTGCGTGCACACGGCCAACATCACGGCGCCCCCAAGCCTGAAGGCACGAGGTGTCACACGTGACGGCCTACCGCCCCCCCGAATAGTCGCAACCCAGCATGCTGGGCTGGCACGGCGGCGGTAAGTGTTGCAGGCAGTCGGATATTGGTTTGGTGTGGGCATACATACCTACACATGTCTGTATGTGTGTACGTATATATATGTGCATTTGCATACGCATATATACACATATGTGTGTGAATGGATACGTGTGTATCTGTATGTGTATATATGTGGACGTGTGTGCGTGTATATGTGTGTATGTCTGCCTGCCTGCCTGCCTGCCAGCTTGTCTGTCTCTGTCCGTCTGTCTGTCTGTCTGTCTGTCTGTCTTTGTCTGTGTGCCTGTCTGCCCGTCTCTCTATTTCAGTCGGTATGCAGGTATGTCGATGTGTGCGTATACATGCAGGTAAAGGTGTGTATACTTTGTTTGTATATATGTATATGTGTGTACGTCTGTATGTAGGCATGTATGTGTGTATGCATCTATGCAACTAGCTATGTTTGAGTGAGTGTGTGTATACATATGCTCGTATGGATTCATCTATACATAGTTATATGCACGTGTGCATGCATGTATGCATTGATGTGCGTATATGTTCGCGGAATTATGTATGCATGAAGGTATGACCGTATGACTGTATGAATGTGTGTATGCTCGGCTGACTGAATTAAGATATGTAGATATGTATGCATGCATGTGTGTACGTAGGTGTGCATGTGTGCAGGTTTGTGTATGTGTGCGTGTATGGATATAAATGTATAACAGTGGCACGTGTGTGCCCAGGCTCATACAAAAAACTGTAGGGGCGTTTGAAGCAGGAGTGAAATGCAACAGCGAAGTCGCACTCAAGCGAAAGTGGGGTTGCCACACCTTGTGATGTGTGTACCAGGGCCCCCCAGGAAGCCTCAGGAGGCCCGACTTGGATACCAGAAGAAGCTCCAGGAGGCCCCAGGATTGTGAGTGTTGTGTGTGTGATGTGTGCTGTGTGTGTTGTGCGTGTTTTTTGTGCGTTGTAGGTGGTGTGTGTGTGTGTGTGTTGTGTTTGTCTAGCGTGTGATGTGTTGGACGTGGTTTGTGTCTCTGTGTGTGCATATAATTCTGAAGCCCCAGGAGGCCCCAGGAGGCCCCAGGCGGCCTCACGAGGCCCCAGGAGACCCAAGGAGGCTTCAGGAGGCCCCAAGAGGCTCCAGAAGGCCGCAGGAGGCCCCAGGAGGCCCCAGGAGGTTTCAGGAGACCCCCAGGAGGCTCCGAGGCGGGGTCTGGGGCACCAGAAGAAGGTTCAGAAAGCCCCAGGAGGCCCCAGGAGGTTCCAGCAGGCCCTCAGGAGGCTCCGAGGCGGGGTCTGGGGTACCAGAGGGTACGCCGGGGCTCGATTTTGGGAGGATGTTTCAAGCGAAACCGCCATTCTCTGAGAATCGGGGTCAACATTATTGAAATTACCATGTGTTTTTGAAGGTTGTATATTAAAATGTTGAAATTCCCATGTGCGTTGTTTGGACCCTGACGTCACGATCTGCGCGAGGGGTGCCACCGATTTTCAGAATGTCGACGATGTCCCTAGCGAAACGGCCAGAAAAATCGCGGACGCGGCGCCACGCGTACGCATTAATCGCCTCTGAGCTCTACTCCCTCGGAGAGGTGCGTATGAGAATATGTGTAGGTGTATATGTTTGCATGTGTACATGTATGCGTCTATGTATGTATGTATGCATGTAGTTGTGCATGTATGTATGTATGTATGTGTATGTGTATGCATGTATGTGTATGTATGTATATTATAGTATAGTATATCATAGTACAATGTAGTAAAGTATAGTATAGTATAGTATAACAGAGTATAGTATACTATAATATAGTCTAACATAGTACATTATAGTATAGCATAGTATAGTATGCTATATGGTAGTATCGTATAGTGTAGTATAGTATAGTATCGCATCGTATCGTATAATATAGTATAGTATAGTGTGTATGCATGTATGCATGTATGTATGTATGCATGCATGCATACATACATACATACATACAATGCAGTATGCACAGCGGCCGGCGCCAAAGGGTCGCCTGACTTTCAGAAAACGATCCACCAGGCTTGACCCCGACGACGGCGACGACCTGATCGCGATTCTGGTAGGCGTTCTCCAGCAGCCTCAGCACGGCGCCCTTGGCGTTCTGCATGCGATTCAGCGCCATGGACCCGCTCGCGTCGACCACAAAGACGACCAGGGCGCCCGCCTTCCGCGCCATCTTCTTCACCCAGATGTCGCTCCTCTCCACGTAGACGTTGCGGAGCTGGTCCGGTGGAGTGTTCTTCCTGATGGCCTCCTCAGGAGAACGGCTGCATACACATACGCTGTCGGAGGTCCGCGCGGACTGCTTGTGAGGGCGATGGGCACCCCATCCCCTGACGCGCGCAGCCGCCGCACGGCACCGCAGGAGTCGCCAGGGGAGGTCTAGCGCAGACCAAAGAAATCCGCGCGGCCAACCGGACGTATATGGCTGGGTCAAATTTGTAGCGATGCCTACTGCCTACTTGCGGCAACACCCGTGTTGGCGGGCACGTTGTGTGACCCCTCTCGGGAGCCCTCGGGAGCCCAACGGGGCTGATGTGACCCGGTGTTGGCCCTGAGGCCCATGGGTCTGATGGTCTAATCATGTGACCCCGTGTTGGCCATGACCGCCGCTCCAATACACAGCCAGATGTGACTCGAACCTGATGAGTGCAGTTTCCTGTTCCTCGGTTCCTCCTTGCGCATCTTCTGATAGACGACGGCGTTCCTCAGCGTGGCGTCAAGGGCGATCTTGCCGCCCTTCGCGTCCCCGCCCTTCGGCAGCATCGCCTTCACGTACCTGCCGCGGTCCATGGAGTAGATCTTGTTGCCCTTGCCGCTCCTGTCGGGGCGGACGGGAAGGGTTAGCGTATCAGCTGCATGTGGCTGGTTCCCCCGGCGCCTGGCCCGGCGGTGAGGCCGAAACCAGCTGCACGCAGCAGCTTTCGCCCCCCTCCCCCCCCCCCCCTCCCCAGCCCCCCACCCCCCCCGTTGCCCGACCCGGTCCTGCCCTGCTTCTTCTGCTGGCTCTGGAACTTCATCAGGTCGTCGTCGACGATCGCGCCCTCGGGGTCGATCATGAACTCCTCGGGCAGTTCCTGCTGCTCCTCGGCGTCGTTGTCCTCCTCCTCCTCCTCGGGTTCGTCCTGCTCCTCCTCGTCCTGCTCGTCCGGCTCGTCCTGCGCAGGGCCAGAACTTGAGCATATCCACCGCCCGAGGGACCGATCTCCCAGGACGCCAGCTGGCTGCACGCAGGAGCAACCTTGGGCAAGAGTGGCCTTCGACCGTTGGTGCGCGGCTTTGGGGGCGCGGGGGCTTCAAACACAAGCAAGCACGCAAGCCGCTGCTGTCTCGTCGCATTCGGCGATCGGAGGACCGCAGTGAGCCCGCACCAACAGTCGCTCTGGCGTGGGGTCCTTCTTACATGTAGTCTGCCCAGGGGGCGGTGGAAGGCGGACATGTTTGGGTCCCCGGTGGCCCGCAAGCGCCCACACCCACCGCCCCCCGAGGTCCATGGCATAAACATGAACTTTGGGAGATCCGCGCGGATTTCTCGGATCGGCGCTGGACCCCCCCCTCCCTGGCGCGCGGAGCGCCGCCAGGAGGCTCTGGCGCCGCTCCGACCTTCAACAGTTTCTGCTTCTGCCATGGTTTGCTCCCCTATGAGGGGAGATCGGTTCCCCGGGCCTCGGGCGGGTGGTAACGGGGGGTTGGCCTAAAGGGGGGGATGAAGACAGGGGCCCCGAAGGAGCATTGCAGGGTTCCTTTTGGGCCCCTGCTGGCTGTTTTCTTCACCCCCCAGGTGAAGAGTCACCCACCAGTTACCATTCGCCCGAGGGCCAGTGGGTGACTACCTACCAGACCACCCCAACCCAACCCGAAGACCCGAATTTGACCCGAATTTCGGGTTGGGGGGAGTACGGGTTCCATGTGTTTTTTCAACGTTCCCCGACCCCCCCCCACTGGAAATGGAGGGCAAATTGAGGCCTTCGGGTTGGGTTGGGGTGGTCTGGTAGGTGGTGAGTGGGCACCTCTGAGTTCTGGCCTCGCAGTCCTGGTCCTCCTGCTGCTCGTCCTGCGCCTCTGGCGGCGGGGGCGGGGGCGGGGGCGGCGGCGGCTGCTCCTCGTCCTCCGGCGAGTTCTGGCGCACCCTGGTGGAGCAGCCAAAACTGACACGCACAGAGCGCATTCTTTCACTCGCGGCCATAACTAGAGGGAAAACAAACCTCCCTCGCTTTTGACCACCCTCGCTTCCAAGAGATACCAAACGATGCCAAATTGCAGCCTGTACTGGTCAGGCCGCTTGACGAGGAGGCGCGTGGTATGACTTGGTTTTGCCTGGAAGCGAAAGCGGGGGAGGTAATTCACGCTCTGAATAACTGGTGTTATGGGGGGTGGGGGACGGGGGGGGGCATAAAGTAACGCTCCCCCACAGACTGTGGTGCCGGACACACTGCGGCAGTGCAGGGGACGCACGGAGGGGGGGAGCGTTACGTCATGGGCGGGGAGAGGGGGGGGGTAGGGGGGCATAACGCGCGTTATTGCCAAGAGGGCTAAACAAAACACATTCACACAGCGGGCTGTGTCGTGCCAACTTCGGCGTGGGCTCCTGGCACCGCGAGGATCGCTCAACCCCGAATCCCCTTCCTGGGGTCCACCCTGACCCGTGTTTCGACGCGGATCCGGCCCTGGTGACGAGATGCCCCCACGCACGCACGCACGCAAGAAGCCGCGCCTAGACGGCGCATCGGCAAAACAAGTCAATCTGAGACCAAGGCCATGGGAAAAGTACAATAAAGTTACATCCCGAATGCAAGCGCGCCGGGGCGCAGACACTGAGCGTAGGTCAGCGTAGATGCCCCCAGGTGGCCAGAAAAAGGGCGAACAACCCCAGGGAGGGCCGCCGTTGTCTCGACTGGCCCTCCTCCGACTACCGCAGGGTCCGTGTCGTGCCGAGTTCGGCGCTGGCCCCAGGGCCCGCGAGGATCGTCCAACCTGGAACGATCGGCCGTTTCCGAAACGTCGGATCCTTCAATACTGACCGAGTCTGGGTCACCGGCGGCGTTCAACGTGGGACGCCGGCAGCGGGGTCGCCGCCTGCCGGCACGACGCGAACTTCCCCTACGCATGATCTGTCGGAGGTCCGCGCGGATTCCTTGGATCGGCGCACGACCCCCGTCCCTGTCTCGCAGAGCGCGCCAGCATCGGCGCCAGGGGGGTCCAGCGCAGATCCGAGCACCCCGCGCAGGCCTCCAATAAGTCTACGCTTCATGCGGTTTGTTGGCACTCGACCTGATGCGCGGGATGATCGCCAGCTTGATACCCATCTGCACGTCGTCCGCAGACACGCAGTCCCGCCCGTTCAGCGCGGCGTGCGCTCGGGCGATCTTGGTTGCGAAGACCTCCGCGCGGTGGCCCTCGCAGCCGCCCCGGGCGGACTCCTCCGCGAAGCGCTTCATCTGGTCGTCCGTGACCTGCACGTCCTCCAGGAACTCGCGCGCGAAGAGCAGTTGCGTCTGCGTGGCCTGCGTGGCCTCGGCGCTCTCCGCCGTAGCCTCCATCGGCCTGCCCGCGAAGTCGCACACCTCGTTCACGGCTATTACGCGCTGGTCGACGTCCATGTAGACCGTCTGCTCGTCAGTGTTCAGCGCCATGGCCAGCCTGAGGGCCACGAGATCCTGACACACATGCACCGACCCTGGCCAGGCCCATCCTGGGCCTAGGATCGGTGCATATGCATCCCCTGGCCGAGGATCCTGGGCCCAGGATGGGCCTGGCCAGGGTCGGTGTGCGTGTCCAGATCTCGTCGCCCGCAGCCTGTCCAGCAGGTGGGGCCGCAGGGGCCCCTCCTCCGGATTCCACGTGGCCACGACCAACGGCCGGCACGGATGCGCCACGGAGAGGCCCTCCCGCTCGACGCGGTTCACCCCGCTCTCGATCGCGGTGAGCAGCAGGCTCACCAGGTCGTCCTGGAGCAGGTTGACGTCGTCGATGTACAGGATGCCCCGGTGGGCCTGCGCCAGCAAACCTGGCTCGAACACGGGCTTCCCGGTCTCCATGGAAGCCTGCACGTCCAGGGAACCCACCAGACGGTCCTCGGTGCACCCGAGGGGCAGCTCTATGAAGGGGCAGTCGATGACCTTGGTCTGCGGGGTGCCGTCGGCGCCCACCACCATGCGCTGCTTCGACAGCCTGTCAAACTCCTCCGGCTTGCTGGGGTCGAGGTTGCAGATTGACTTCTCGACCACCTCGATGCGCGGCAAGATGCCCCGCAGCGAACGGGCCAGCGTCGTCTTGCCCGTGCCGTGGCCGCCGGAAATGCCCACGCCACCCAGCGAGGGGTCGATGCAGGCCAACCGCAAAGCCAGCTTCACGTCCTCCAGGCCGACCAGGCGCGCCATGGGCAGCACCAGGCCCCGCCACGCGGCAGTTTGCTCCTCCTGGGGGAGCAACGTGCTTGCCATCGTGGGATCCCGCACATTGCATTCGAGATCGCGCCCTGGACCTGCATTTTTGGTGGTGCAAACTATATGGTGCACTCGATGTGCCGCAATTTGCGGGGCCCCACCCACATGGTGCAAGCCCCGGGGTGCAATCCATTTGGCGCAGCTATGTTGTGCAGGATATGTGTGTTGCAAGGTATGCGGTGCTAGCTATGTGAAGCAAACCATGTGATGCAAGCTACGTGGCGTAGCCTGCGTGATGTGCGATACGGGCCACAAGCTGTGAGCTGCAACTGGCCCTGCCGAGCTTGAAGTTGTCAGCGCCACTGCTGGCGCAATCATCCCACCCACCCACCCGCAATTTGGTTTGCAAAACCCATACGGCGGCGATTGCGATGACTGCTCGGCGCCGGCCGGCGCACCGCCGCGGCGGCGCAATCGCACATGCTCGCGCGCGCAGCTGGCAGCCAGCTTGGCGCGACCGACGCGGCCGCGGTGGCGCTGACCGCTGGGCAGTACCCATCGGGCATTTCACTGCGACTCGGCAGCGTGGGCGGGCGCGGTATCATGTCAACGTCGATCACGGTATACGCGATGATGATAGTAACGTTGCTGGTGGCGATAATGGCAACGACGACGGCACGGCCAGTGACGGCGCCGATGCTGATCACGCCGACGATGATGACGGCGTCCTCGCGTCGGCGACGAACGTATTGGAAACAGACCGACGTGCGCGCGTGGACGACGCGCGAGAGCGGCCCGCATGGTATGATTTGACACGCATCGTGCCCCCCCCCAAGGCGCAAAAGCGTTCGAATGATTTCGACCTGCGGCGCGAAAGGTTCGTTCGGCAGAATGTGAAGAACATCCTGAACACCTATAGTATCCTTAAGAACTCGCAAGACCGCGAGCGCAGGCTTTTTTGAACACTGATGTTGCAAAACCATGTGTTCCTGCATGTTCCCAGGACGCTCGAATTTGACACCCGTACAGAACCTTCACTTGTTGAAAGATTTCGGCATGTACACGCGACGGCGCGCGAATGTGCACTTCGTCCAGTTTTTCGCAAGGGATTATTGCAACAACACGCGCGCAAGGGCAGTCTTGCGATTCCGACATGCGCGCTCGAAAGGACCGCTTGGTAGCATGTTTTGCACATGTAGAAACAACCGGTGGTTGTCTTGAAATCTCGCAAGACCATGTGTCTGTGTATGTTTCGGGACACTCGATTTTGGAATTCCCACGAAATCTATGAGTTGTTTTAAGAATTCCGGCATGCGCGAGCGACGCGCGCGTGCGCACTTCGTTCCATAGTTTGCAACTGGTGCTTGACAACGGATGAGTTTTGATAGACGAGTGCGCGCGCACAGTATTTGTTGCAGAAGAAGAGGGGTGGTGGTGCCAGTTTGGCTGAGGTGATACAAATTCATATAACAGATGGACAGCGGAGCAGAATCATATGAACATCGCAATGCGAAAAAAAGATGGGACCGTTAAGTCCGGGGGGGAGGGGCGACAGTCTGTATCTCTTTCGGAAAGAGAAAGAGCATCGATGTTGTACTGTGAGTGCGGTGCCAGCTACGTGTTTAGGGGGGAAACAAACCTACCTCGCTTTTGACCACCCTCGCTTCCAAGAGATACCAAACGATGCCAAACTGCAGCCTGTACTGGTCAGGCCGCTTGACGAGGAGGCGCATGGTATGGCTTGGTTTTGCCTGGAAGCGAAAGCGGGGCAGGTAATTCACGCTCTGAGTGTTGCAAGCCATGTGGGATAGAAGCTATGTGCTGCGAGCTCTGTGGTGCCAGCTGTGTGGCGCGAACTTGGCGCCGACGGGGCGCCCACGGGCGCGCGCCAGGCGACCCCCCCCCCCCCGCCACACCCACCCGGCAAACGAGGCGGCCACGAGCTGCCCACCAGCGGACACCAGGCGGAACCCCGACGTGGCCCACCCAGCGCACGGGGCACCCACGAGGCACCCGCGAGGCACCCCAGCGGCACCGGGCGAGACTCCACCACGCCCACCTTGGCGCACGGGGCGCTCACGAGGCGCCCACGGGCGGCCGCGGACGGGCACCGAGCGAAACCCCGACACGCCCACCCAACGCACGGGGCGCCCACGAGGCGCCCACGGGTGGCCACCAGCCAGGCACCCCGCAAAACCCCAGCACACCCATCCAATGACTTACGAACGTTGGTAAAACCCCTACGTGCAAACACGTACAAACCCCTGAATATGCAAACGCTGGTTGGGGAACATGCCAATACCGATGCCCCCTGGACCTCCCTCGGAGTGCTGTGGCCAGGATTCCAAGGCGCATCCAGCCGTGACGATCAGGGGCCCCCAGGGGGCCCGAGAAGGTGCACGCGAGGAAAGGGAATCATTATCGGTACCATGTCTCTTCTGACTTCCCAGACCCCCGACGTCTTTTTCTTGCATGTGGACCCCTTGAGGTCTACCCCTTCACTGGGCCCACTTCTTTCTGAAGCGGATTGTGACGGTCCAGGGGTAAATTCAGTTACCCCCCACAGACTCGACGACGCGAAGAAACGCACCATCGAAAGAAGTCATGACCGGGATCCTAGACCCCACTTTTCGACTACTTTTCTCTCGAGCCCAATCAATACTCATGTGAGGGCCACAGGGCCCGATTATACGGAGCCACAAAAGGGAACCTGCGGTGTGAAAAAAACTGCGACATCAGACCTCAGAGCCATGTGGCCTCCCGCCTCGCTTTTCCCACTGCGCGGGACTCCTCGGCGGCGTTCACCGCCGCCGCGCGCTCGTCGATCGCCGCGTCGTCGGCCGTGGCGGTGGCGCGCAGGGCCGCGGCACGTCGCCCCCGCGGCCCGGCGCACGCGCCCGAGGGCGCGCCGCGCCGGCGAAGCGCCGCGGCCGCCGCGGTCGCAACGCCCAGTGCGGCCGCCCCGGCGCCCACTGCGAAGCCCGCCGGCGGGGGCTCCGCGCGGCTGCCGCCGGCGCTCCTCTGCGCAGAGGCCACCGCGGTGCACCTCTTCGCCGTGCCTGGCCAGGGCCGTTCCGCGCCCTGGGATGGCGTGCCGCCCCTCTGCTCGGTTGCCCCCAGATGGGCTCCGAGTGGTTGGGTCGGAGGATCGCGCCGCACTGCCGATGCATCGCCGATGGATCGGCGACGTCGGCGTGGAGAAAATCGAGCTCCACATCGCCGATGCATCGGCGATGCGGCGCGACCCTCCGACCCCATTTACTCAGACCCTATCTGGGAGGCCTGGATCCTGGGACACCTTGGGTGATCCTGGGCCATCCTGGGTACAACCATCCTGGGCCACCTGCTCCCCACCGCCAGGCGGTGGTGCACGGATGGTCCTCCCGCCTGGCCCACATCCAATCAAAATCGGTCCCTGAACCCCTGATCCAGCCCTGGCAACGAGAAGCCCCTAGGTGGCCCGAACATGGTGAAAAAACACCATAGAGAACCGGCGTTGTCTCGACTGGCCCTCCTCCGACTACCACGGGTCCGTGTCGTGCTGACACCGCGTGGGTCGCCAGCAGCGTTCAACGTTGAACGCCAGCGGCGGGGTCCCCGACAATCGACAAGACGCGAACCTGCCGTTTTCGGAGGTCCCCACGGACTTCTTGGATCGGCACTGAACCCCCATGCCTGGTGCGCTCCGCGCGCCTGGAGCGGCGACGGAGGCGCCGCAAGGAAGGTCCAGCGCAGATCCACCTCCGAATGTTTACGCTTGTGCCGTTATCGCCCTCGACACGACACCACCCTTGAGAAAGACAACGGTCGTGTTGGGGAGAAGGGTTTGGAAAACCACAGGGTACGACTGTGAAACAAACACTCTCAACATACTCGATAATGCTGACGATTTGATCCTTTCTCTCAACCCCCTCCTCCACCCAACCGTTCCGAGATCTGTCTTTCTGGACCCTACCGTACACACCACCGCTGGGCGGCGGTGCACGGGTGCACTCTGCGCAGCTCCTCGCCGCGCCCGCGCCCCGCCGCTGCGGCGCGGCCGGCGCGCGCAGCGGCGCCCCCGGCGCGGCCCAGGCGGTGCCCGCGAGCGCCGCCGCGCCCGCGGCCGCGGCGCAGCCCGTGGTTGCCCGGCGGTGGCGGGCGCGGAACTGGGGCGTAGCTTCGTGCATGGCGACCCCTCGCCTCGAGTGCGTGGCAGCCGGATGCACGCAGGAGCGGCCCGACGCAGCCAAGGCGCTGAATAACGTAGCACACCGCGGTTGCGGATGAGAGTGAGGGGGCGGCGGGGACGTCTGCAGTATGCGAGGCTCTGAAGAAGGCCGCCGCAAGCGCAAAATTTTCAAGCTATACAACGAGCCCGCCGCATGCGCCGGTTTTCTCTTTTAAAAAATGTAGGTGGGTCGCGGGTTGGGTCGCAAGTGGGTCGCGCGTGGGTCGACGGTGGATCGCGGGCCAAGTCGCGGGTGGGTCGCGGTTGGGTCGCGAGAGGGGGGTCGCAGGGTGGGTCGCGGTTGGGTCGCGGGTTGGGTCGCGTGCCAGGTCGCGGGGGGGACGACGACAACAAACAACAGCAGCAACAACAACAACAACGACAACAACAACAACCACATCAACAACATCAACAACATCAACAACAACAACAACAACAACAACAACAAAAACGACAACAACAGTAACATCTACTCACCACGGATCCGCACTTGAGCCACGCACCCAGGGACAATGAATGACCGTTCGGCCCCCCCACTCTGATCAGGGCCACTTTGCGCTCGGGAGGGGAACTGAGATCTGGGTCTGGGAGCCTATTCGTGGCCGAGGCTCGCCGTGGCCTGAACTGCCCGTCGTTCCTTACTTGGCGTTCTTCGTAGTCGCGAGGTGACTGTAGGCACCAGTGGCCTTTGGTGCGCGTCTTTGTGGGAGGGGAGACCACGGAGGGGCCGAACCCGAACGCACGGGCCGCTGCTGTCGCATCGCGTGCGTCGATCAGGCGACCCCACTGGACCCGCATCAAGAGGTCACTCCGGCGGAGGGCAGGATCAACCAACATCGAATCGGTAAATCGGATCGGATCGGAATGTGCATCGACTCGGGCCGCATCGGCACGACGTCGGGTTCGAATCGGATCGGCCGCGCCAGGATGTGCAACCGCGACATGGAAACATTGGGCAGCATCGTGTCGTCGGAATATCGGAATCGAAACGGCTCGAGCTGGACGGAACTGATACCGAATCGGCAGATCGGATCGGAATGGCTCCCGACGGGCCACTCCCACGCGTAGCCGAGGCAAGTCCGCCGCGCGGTTCAAAAAAAACCTGCAAAATGTCGGGCCGTGGCTCTGCCCCTGCGAGCCAGAGCGGCTGCGGAAGGGAGGGGCGGCGTGCGAGGCGGGCGCGCGGCCCTGGGGCCTCTGGAGATAATTCGTGTGTTTGTGTCCCCCCATATCCTGAGGATGGGGTTACTCTTTTCACTTAGACCGCGCGGGACGAATACAGGACCCTCACACCTTCAGGTCATCAATCCCTGACCCACTCACATGTAGACACACTCATACTCAGGCGCACTCGTACTCAGATACGCTCGCTCTCAGATTACTGATGCTCAGATTTTTCATGATTGGGATCACTCATATGCAGATTCATTCACACTTTGAGTCGCTTTCCCCAGCTCAGACTCATTCGCATCACTTCCCACATTCAAGGTAATCATACTCAGGACACTCACACTCTGTTTCACTCAAATGTAGATTGACTCATACTCAGGTTCACTTACATGTAGGCGCACTCACTACCAGGGCAACGAAGCTCGCGCCAGGAGCCTCAGACCCGCTCTCAGCCCACACTGACTTGCACTCGGATTTGCGAGGATGTCTCAGGCGAGGCGCTGGCCTCAGCTTCCCCAAGGGAGGGCGCCAAGGGGTACTGCGCGGACCCGCTCGCGCCCATATTCCGGGGATACCTCGAGCGGCTCGCCTGTTGGAATGCTCATCACCTGCTGCGTTGGGAGCCGTTCGCGAGGATATCTCAGGCGATGCGCTGGTGTCAACCTCCCCACATGCGGGCGCCAGGGGGTGATCCAGAATGTGGCGATGTCTTGGACGAGTTGCCTCCGCTTTCGGATCAGATTCTGAGGATGTCTTGGCCGAGGCGCTGGTTTTCGCTCCCAATGGGGGGGGGGCACCAGGGGGTATTGCACTCCTCCGTTCGCGCCCAGATTGTGGGGATGTCTCGAGCGTGTTGCCTGTTTGCATGCTCAGCACCATCTGCTTTCGGAGCGGATTCTGAAGATGTCTCGGGCGAGGCGCTGGCTTTCGCACGCCTGAGGAGGCCCAGATTGCGATGATGTCTCGAACGGTTTGCCTGTTTTGCTGGCGAGGCTCGTGGGCACGGATCCTCCCCAGGAGGCCACAGGAGGCTCCAGGAAACCCAAGGAAGCCTCAGGAGGCCTCAAGAAGCATCAGGAAGCCTCAAGAACCCCCAGGATGCCTCAGGAGGCCCCCAGAGGCCCCAGGAAGCACCAGGAAACCCAAGGATGCCTCAGGAAGCTACAGGGCCACAGCAGGCCCAAGGAAACACCAGGAGGCCCCAGGATGCCCCAAGAGGCTCCAGGATGCCCCAGGGAGCGCCAGGAGGCCCCAGGAGGCCCCAAGAGGCCCCAAGAGGCCCCAGGAGCAGGAGGCCTCAAAGGGCAACAGGAGTGGCTCCAATCTCTTGTGTTTCACGCGTGTTCCTGTATATTGGTGCCTTTCCTGGGGCACGAGTCCTTCGTGTTGTACGTATGGTCATATATATATATATATAATTATATAGATATAGATATATCTATATGTGGACTCCTTCTCGTGTGTCCAATCCTACATGTTTCACGTATGATGTTCCTATACTTTGGGCCCCTCCTGGTGCACGAATACCCCCCAGGAGGCCCCCGAGTCTCCTGAAGGCCCCAGGAAGACCCAGGAGGCCCCAGGAATATCCCAGGCTCATACACATAGAATCACTCGTACTACTGAGACTCATTCACGCCCCAACTCATTCACAATTAGACTCACTCCCAATCTATCAATACTCAAGTTCGTGTATATTCGAAGTCTCTTCCGCCTCGACACTCACGGCGGAAAAGTCCACGCAAACAGATGCACATTTTGGGAACGCCACGCAATGAATCATTTACTTGTAGTTTTGATGTTTATGTGACAGCCCGGGTTATCAGGTGGGGGGGGGGAAGTGCCAGCCGATGGCCTAACATTTCTGCTTAGGCAGCCACACGCGTGATTGCGCGAACCATTGCTGCGCAACCCCTTTCGGACGTGCGCAACCAAATGGCTCCGGGGGGGAAGAACCCCCTCCCCTGGTGCGCGGACCGCGCCAGGGGCGGCGCCCGAAACGCTATGGGGGGGTCCAGCGCCGACCAGAGAAATCCGTGCAGACCTTCGAGAAAGCAAATGCAGATGCGATTGTTCCCTACGGGAGAACCAGAGAAACAGAAAGAGAGAGAGAGAGAGAGAGACATAAAGAAAGATAACGAGAGAGAGAGAGAGGGAGAGAGAGAGAGAGAGAGAAGTAGAGACAGAGGTTGAGAAAGAGAGCGAGAGGGAGAGAGAGAGAGAGAGAGAGAGAGAGGAGCGAGAGACCGAGAGAGATGAAAACCACAAAAAAATCAGAGAGAGAGAGAGAGGGAGACAGAGCGAGAGCGAGAGAGAGGGAGCGAGGGGGAAGTCCGGCTCCGCGGAATGAGCAGAGTGGCGGGGTAGACTCGGACCCCGGGGGGGGGCGGGAGTTGGAGAGGAGCAGCGGGCAGCACGGTCCACGGTCAGTCAAGGCGCCCGCGGGCCTGGTCTTGGTCTTGACCTTCACGGCGTTGCCGTTGACCTGGCGGCAGCGGGGCGGGGCCGCCAGCACCCCAGGGAGGGGGGCGCGCGCGCTCGGAGCAGGCCTTCGACGCGAGCCGGGGCGTGGCGACGAGGGCGCCCTGGGAGGCCCAACAACCCTGCCGAGGACGCCCAGGGCTCTCGACCCTCGAAGCCCCCCGCACGCCCGTCGTGCCCGACGGGCGGCCGCTGCCGCGCAGGGCCCCCTCCCTCTTGCGCTGTATCGCCAGGGTCGGCGCAACGGTGCTTCTCTCGTGCCCCCGCCCGCGCTGCGGGAGTCTCCCCCGGAGGGGGAGGAGGAGGAGGAGGAGGAGGAGGAGGAGGAGGAGGAGGAGGAGGAAGAGGAGGAGGAGGAGGAGGAGGAGGAGCCTCGGGCCCCTCTCCCTCCCCGCCCTCTGCGATGCCCCGTCCACAGGTCGCTTTGGTCACGCTGCTTCCTCGCGCCGGAGAGGCGGGTCTTACCCTCGGTGACCACCGCACGTCCACGACGTGGGCTTCCAGGCTGACGCCCTGCCTCGATGGGCCTGTCGGTTGGCCCCAGTGCCAGGGGAGCTGTGCTGCCCTGTCGCGCGAGGGTGGTGCCCAGGGAAACCCTGCCGTCCTCCCTCAGTGAATATCCCTCACAGCTGTGGTGGGAACGCCGTTGGCGGGCCTTCCGGTCACTCATGCCTAACAACTTACAGTTCTACTGTTGCTCAGTGTCCGAGAGGGTGGTTTTCCAGAATAGACTGATCGACATTGTTTGACATTGTTTGGCCAGCTGGTTGGTTGATTGATCTTGAGTGGCTGCATCGCGCGCGACATCATTATCCATAGCAAATGGCACACATAAGCCTGCGTACTGCGTTGCTGGCTGCAGCTCCCCTGCATCCTGGGCCGTCGGAGGTTCAATGAGTGCTGGCGAGGTAGTTTGTCTGAGCAGGACGCTGTAGAAGACAGCGCCATGACGCAGCGGCCCGCGCCAGTTCGATGCAAACCCGCGCCAACTTGCAGCGCGCTTGCCCGCGCCAATGGTATCAAGCCGCCAGCTCTGGGCAGTCAGCGAGGGAGAGAGGAAGCGACAACCACGCCTACGATGACAAACAGGCAGGCGTGCGGGCATGCGCGCAGGGAATGAGGGAGGACAGCAAGGCAGGGAGCAGGGGTGGGGATGGCGATGGAGAAGACGGAGAACAAAACAGAAAAGGAGGAGGGGCACAGGCGGCGGCATTCTAGTGGTCGTCGGGGTCGTCGCGGGGGTTGTCCGGGTCGTCGGGAGAGAGGGGGAGCCAGTGGAGTCAGCAAAGGCACGCCCCGCCAGAGCCCACCCACTGCCAGCTCGGGTGTGCTGGGGGCGGAAGGGAGGGCGGGGGGGGGGGGCAGACAAGGGTAGGGGAAGGGGGGGGGGGAATCAGATGAGGGAGACGAGAAGGCGCGCGTCTACGATGGACCATCCCGGGGCGCATGCTCGTGCAAAGCAGGCCAGGGTTCCAGCTTGATCGCCGCGCCACTGGGGGAACTGGGCTTTTCACATGCTGGCAAGCCCGTCTCCTCTTCTGACATGCCTGCCGTCAGTCTCTAGTGTCAACGCCTCTTCTGTGGCAGCTTCACGTCGGGATGACGTCGGCGCTGGTTTCTTGCAGCGCGAGGACCGCTGAACCTCAGAGAGCCGGACCTTTTCGACAGCGCAGATCGTTCGGCATCCGCCAATTCCAAACCGCTGGCGGCTTTCAACCTTGAAGGCCCACGCTTGGGTCGCCACCGCGTCAACGCGGGGCGGACTTCTGCCCAAATCCATGGCGCCGCGTTTTGCTCGCAGCGTGAACCCCCGAGAGGTCGATCTCCACCCCTTCCACAGGACTGGCTGTACGTCCCGAGCCTTCTTTTGACTGCCCCAGGGTTCGGCCATGGCCCCAAGATGCACACCCGACGGCACAAACTCGGGGACGAGGATCAACAATCGTCGGCGGCGAGCGAGGGGGGGGAATTGAGAAGGAGAAGGCCTTCTCAGAAGGCGGTGGGACTTCTCAGAAAGCCTCGGGCATTCTGACAGGTTTTCTGTGCCTTTGGGGGGAGGCTTAAGACATGTTTCAGAAGTCCGGGGGACTTCCGAGCCTCATGAGAAGGCTCGCCCCCCCCTCACTTCGCTCCCGGGCTGGCCGCCGAAATCAACACCCAAAACGGCAGCGGCCACTGTCAGGCAGGCGACAGCAGTCCCGAACGGGCAACGCCCGCGGCGACGCTGGCATGCCAGCCCGACAGCGGGCAGGAACTCTTTGCCCACTTCGATCGTGCAGTCCACCCGTAAAAAAAGGCCGCGCGGTAAGGATGCAAGGGCCTTGGAAGGCCATGCTGACACTTTGCGAGCGGGGCGCGGCCAGCGAAAGCGGCCCAGGATGGGCCGAACGAGAAGGATGTCAGGGTACCCCAGATTTCGTAATAAAAGGGAGGGGGTCACAACCCTCCCAGACCAGAAGTTTTAGACCCCCCCAGACCATCCAACGGGCCAGGGCGTGCTAAGATCTCCGGTAACTGGTTAACAGTAGTAACAGTATTTCTAGTTCGCGCGCGCGGGGCGGCCCCTGGGGGTCCCCCGGCGAAAAGTACCCCGACCAACGCCCGGTCGCCGCCCGACCGCCGCCCGACCAAGTCTACTCAGAGATGGTTTTCCTTCTGGGTGCGGCCTCTCAGGCTCCCCAGAGCGCGCTCAGAGTGCCCCAAGAGGCCCCCAAGACTGCCCAAGAGGCCCCCGAGACGCCCAAAGAGCGCTCGAAGACGCCGAAGATGACCCCAAGACGGCCCAAAAGGCCCCCAAGACAGCCCAAGAGGCCTCCAAGACGCCCCAAGAGCCTTCCAAGAGGCCTCCGAAGAGAGCCCCAAGAGGCCAAAATCGTTGATTTTCATTGTTTTTTCTATGTTTTTTGTGTTCTGGCTTTTTCGGCTTCCGGACGCTCCAAGACGGCCCAAGAGGCCCCCAAGACCGCTCCAAGACGGCCCACGAAGCTCCCAAGACGGCGCCGAAACGACCCAAGAGAGCCCTCAAGACGGCCCAAGTGCCGCCCAAGACGGACCAAGAGGCCCCAAGACGGGCCCAAGAGGGACTCAGGAGGGATACCGAGAACTCAAAAATGGAGCCCTCCGTCCCAGAAGGCGCCCAGGAGGTCCCAAAGAGGCCCCAAGAGGCCTCCAAGAGGCCCCAAGATGTCGCCAAGAGGCCCCAGGAGACTCCCAGGAGGCCCAAAAGAAGCCCCAGAAGGCTTCAAACATGTCTCCCAGGCGCCCCCGAACGGCCTCTCAACAGACCCCAAGAGGCCCCCCAAAGAAGCATCTTGACGACGACTCTATTTCGCCCCATCGAGAGACGACCCCCAGGGAACTGCTTCACCATCAAAACTCCCCACGCAACGCGTCCGAACGACACCCGCCCCCAAGAGCGCAACATGGGCAACGAACACACAGACAAAAACCAGCGATGCCATATCACGGGCCGGCGGAATGAGCGAAGCGATTCAATAAAAGGGAGGGGGTCACAACCCTCCCAGACCAGAAGTTTTAGACCCCCCCAGACCATCCATGAAAGGGCGGCCCTTTGCCCAGACCCCCCGAACCCTCCAAGACAGCTCAAATCAGACCCCCCCCGAAATGAGACCCCCCTCCCTTTATTATGGAATCCGGGGGAACCTTGGGAAGTTGCTCATCCTTGCCATGCGGGTTGACTGTGCCGACAGGGAGGCCGAAGTCGGCCCCACACCCCCCGCCGTCCGTCGATGTTCCCCCCCTCCCCTGGGCCAGACCCCGACCCAGACATCCGATGTCTGGAGTTTCTCCATACGGGATCCCAGGGATTTGGAACTTTTCCCCAGAGCCGCTCTTCATCTTGAATCGATTCTTGACAGTCCCGAGGCCCGGCGAGGACCCCCAAGGCCCCCCAAACGATGAAAAACCTCCACCTTGAGCTCCTCGAGATGCTGGAGGTCTGGGCCTGGCATTATCTCGACGCGAGGTGGGGGAGGGGCTGCTTCTCCTCCTCGCTGTCAGGTCAGAGGGCTCGCGGTCTGCAGCGGCGGAAAACGGGGAAAACCTCCGCCTTGAGCTCCTCGAGATGTCGGAGGTCTGGTCCTGCCAGCCTCCCGACGCGAAGAAGATGGGAGGGTCTGCTTCTACTCCTCGCTGTCGGGTCGGAGGGCTCGCGGCCTGCAGTGTCCGCGGCTTGTTGTGGCGGCGCCGGCGGCTGATGAAGACGGGGATGTCCTCTCTCTGCGACAGGGCGCTGGCCTCGGCGCCGTGCCCTCACAGAACACAGTCGTCGTCGCCGCCGCCGCCGTCGCGATCGTCGTCGTCGTCGCCGCCGCCGCCGCCGCCGCCGTTGTTGTCGTCGTCGCCGTCGTCTGAGTCCTCCGAGAAGCCCTGGATCCTCGATCCTGGGTCGATCTTGCTCGATCCTCAAGTGATCCTCGATCCTCAACGACCATCCATCTTCAATCCGCCTTGGAGAATGTAGGTAGGCACTCACATTCGGGCCATGCGCCGCCCGAAAAGGATGAGGAGTCCGGCATCACTCGAGAGACGAGCCTGCGCTCAACTTCAAGGCTTCAAGGGCCAGAAAAAGGAGGAGAAGGATGAGAAGGGGGGAGGAGGAGGAGGAGGAGGAGGAGGAGGAGGAGGAGGAGGAGGAGGAGGAGGAGGAGGAGGAGCAGGAGCAAGAGGAGGAGGAGAAGGGCGAGAGAAGGAGAAGGAGGAGAAGGGGAGGAGCAGCAGGAGAGAGAAGGATGAAGGAGAAGGAGGGGTAGATAAGAGGATCGGACAGGACGGATACAACTGGGGCCCAACGTCTTCCAGCTTGCAAAGTGAATCCCACCATCCCTCGAGGCGCAGGTGGTTTAGAGAGCCCGTTCTGTTTCTCCTCCTTCTTCCCCTTCGGGGAAGGGTATAGCACTGTTCCTTATTAATATACACCTACTCCCCCAAGCGACCGGCGTCCAACCAGGAACCATGAGGACAACATGACGACCCGCCCCCCACCATCCATGTCAAAAAACAATACAAATCGCATTATGCCTTCACATTTGGAGTATACGCGGCCAGCCCGATGGGGCCCCCCACAATCCCTGTCAAAAAAGCAAAGTACGCTTTGGGGCAAAGTCTAGAGTCATGTCCATGAGGCCCGCGGACACTTTGTATGGTTTTGACAGTGACGGTGGGGGGCCAGCATAATTATTCCCTGCCGTGCGCAGGGCTACCATCCCTGACAAAAAGAATACAACATGCACCTCGCGGTTAAATCTGGATCGTGCGCGGCCGTCCCGCGATTACTGCCAAATGGTTTTTGACAGGGACCGCGGGGGTGGTGGCGCGTGGCCTGCTGTGCGCAGGCCCACCAGACACAATGATGGGCACTGGTTTTTGACAAAGATGGCGGGGGCTGACATGTTTCCTGATGTGTGCTGTCACGTGCACACTCGCACTCTGCACGTGCCCCGAACATGGCGCACCAGGCGTGCCTGGCACGCTCGGGCCCCAGGGCTGCCTGGCGCGAGGGGCGCCCCTGGCACGCGTGGCGCACCACGCCCAACCGTCGCGCACCTGGGGTCGGCGTTGGTTCCCAGTAGCTGTCCATCCAAAGACGACCGCTGAACATGCTCAGGCTCGGGTGTTACTCATGTGTTGGGAGCGCGGGTGGGTAGCTTGCTTGACCCCCCCTACTCCCTCCCCATCGGCCTGGAAGGGGGGGCGGGCGCGGGTAGTTGGAGCGTCTGTGTTGGCCTAGGATGGCGCCAAGACATCCCAAGAGAGCTCAAGATAACCTCCAAGCTTGCTCAAGATAACCCTCGATGACCGTCCAAAGACGACCCCAAGTGGCCACGGAGCCACCCAAGGACGCCCCTGAGAGGCCGACATCCTTCCAAAAGTTCAGGCACATTAATGTGTTTGGCCTTCTCGCCTTTTCGCTTTCAGTGTGCTCTTGAGGCTTCAAGATGGCCCCAAGATGGCCCAAGAGAGCCCCAAGAGAGGCCCCAGAGAGGCCCAAGACGGGCACCAGAGCGCCCAAGAGCGCCCCAAGAGGGCCCTAAGAGGTGACTTTTCGGGTACGGAAGGGGGGAGGGAGCGTAATTGACGCCGCGCTCCATTGAGCCGTGGCCTCCAAGATGGTCCCAGGAGACCTCCCAGACCCTCCCGAAGAGCCCCAAGAGGGCCCCAAGACCCTCCAAACAAGCCCCAAGGGTGCCCCACAAGGCACCACGAGGACCCCAAAAGGGACCAGGGACCTGAAACATAGCCCCCAGGAGCGACAAACCCAGAAACGCCTTCATGGTTGACTTCGTCGTCGTCGTCGTGGTCGTCGTTATCCTGGTCATCGTCGTCGATCGCCTCGTCGTCGCTCTCCTCATCTCTCCGCACACCGCCTTCTCTTCTTCCTGCTCCGCCTCGTCCTCCTCCCACTGCCCCCTACAATAATGTATACCTGGAGATATGTAGGTGGTGGGCAGAAGAGGAGGAGATATGCGAGAGCAGGAGGATGCACGCCCGAACATCACGACCGTCGGTGTGCGTCGCAAAATGTGCTGTGTTGGGATGGGCTGGTGGGGATTTGTTTGGTACGTGGGCGCGCGAAACGGGTCGAACGCCGGGCTAGCAGGGGCAGGCTATATGAGTGGGGATACGCGAAGCGTGAACAACTGTTTACTGCAATGCAATACGCACGAACGCTAGTTCTGGTCGTCGGAGCCTGACGGAAAACTCTCCTCACGTGTTAAAGGAGCTGCGCTGGCGCCACTGGGAGCGCTCGGGCCCAACATGCGCCAGGGGTAGGGGGAATGATGATGATGATGATGATGATGATGATGATGATGATGATGATGATGATCATCATCATCATCATCATCATCGTCATCATCATCATCATCATCATCATGATGATCATCATGATGATGCTGATGACGATGAAGATGGTGGTGGTGATGATGATGCTGATGATGATACTACTACTGCTAATGATAATTAGGTTGTTGTTGGTGATGATGCTAATGATGGTGGTGGTGATGATGAGGAGGAGGTTGAGGAGGAGGAAGAGGAGGGGGAGGAAGAGGAGGAATGAAGATGAGCAGGAGGAGGAGGAGGAGGAGGAGGAGGAGAAGGATGAGGGGGAGGAGGAGAAAGGACGAGGGGGATCTAGAAGGACCGGGGAGGGAGGGAGGGAGGAGGAGGAGGAGGAGGGGGAGGAGGAGGAGAATGGAGGAGGAGGAGGAATGGGAGCAGGAGGAGGAACGAGGAGGGACGAGGTAGGAGAACTGAGGAGGTGGATCGGCGAGGGAGCAATCCCCAGGAAGGAGGAGGAACAGGAGGAGGAGGAGGAAAAAACGATCCCAAATTGCACCATTACCGCCCGTGACTGCTAGCCTGGACACCAGAAGCAATAAGCATATTGAAACAGAGCTTACGTCGGCCAGGCGCCGAACCCCACATTAACCTTTGCTTGACCACTACTACATGCTAAAACTCTGCATGCTCCATGTTTGTTTTGTCATTCACTCTGTCCCGCGGCTCTCACTTTGCCTTGGAGAAGAAGAGGAGGAGGAGGAGGAGGAGGAGGAGGAGGAGAAACAGGAGGAGGACGCGGAGGAGAAGGAGAAGGATCGAGAAGGGAGCAGCCCCCAGGGAGGAGGAGGAGAAGAAGGAGGAGGAGGAGGAGGGGGAGAAGGACGAGGAGGAGGAGGAAGAGGAGGAGGAGGAGGAGGAGGAGGAGGAGATGAAGGAGGATGATAATCGAGGAGGTAGGAGAAGGAGGACGACTTGTCCTCCTCCTTCTCCTCCTCCTCTTCGATCCTCCTCTTTGCCACAAGGACGACGACGAGGACGACAACGAAAGCGAAAACCACGACGGCGACGACGACGCCGACGAACGACGACGACGACGACGAGGCCCCCGAATGTTGGAGGCGGCCGGACGGTCTGAACTAATTGGGGCTCCAGAAAATTCGCCGGCCCAACGGGCCAGAGGCGTGCTAAGATCTCCGGGAACTGCTCTACAATGTTTCTACTTCGCGCGCGCGGGGCGGCCCCTGGGGGTCCCCAGACGAAAAGTACCCCGACCAGGTCCCGGCAAGGTCCCCGCAAGGTCCCCGGCAAGGTCCCCGCAAGGTCGGGCCAGAGATGCCGGAGCCCTGTTACAGGGCCCCAGGACGGGCCAAGAGGCCCCCAAGAAGCCTCCAAGACGGTCCAAGAGGGCCCCGAGACGGCCAAAGATCGCCCGAAGACGCCCAACAGGGCCCCAAGACAGCCCAAGAGGCCTCCAAGACGCCCCAAGGGCCTTCCAAGAGGCCTCCGAAGAGGGCCCCAAGAGGCCAAAATCGTTGATTTTCATTGTTTTTTTCGCTGTTTTTTGCGTTCTGGCTTTTTCGGCTTCCGGACGCTCCAAGACGGCCCAAGAGGCCCCCAAGACCGCTCCAAGACGGCCCATGAGGCTCCCAAGACGGCCCCGGAACGGCCCAGGAGGGCCCCCAAGACGGCCCAAGTGCCGCCCAAGACGGACCAAGAGGCCCCAAGACGGGCCCAAGAGGGGCTCAAGAGGGGAACCGAGAACTGAAAAATCGAGCCCTCCGCCCCAGAAGGCGCCCAGGAGGCCCCAAAAAGGCCCCAAGAGGCCCCCAAGAGGCCCCCAAGACGCCCCAAGAGGCGCCCAAGAGGCCCAAAAGAGGCCCCAAGAGGCCCCAAAACGGCCCCCAACAGGCCCCAAAACTCGGCTAGCCCACAACTGTGCGACAATATGGGCCGGCGGAATGAGCGAAGCGATTAAATAAGTCAGGAGGAGACGTGAAGCCAAATCCGCAGAATCTGTCCCACGGCCTCTCTCCCTGTCCATCTGGGGCAAGTGTTCATCCCGGATCCGTTTTCGACGGCCCCAGTGGTCGGAAACGGCCTCCTTGAGGCCCAGCCAGGCAACGCACACCTTCAAGAGTCTCGAGCCTGCCCGCCCTTCCTGCTGGCCGAAACCAGTGCTGCGCCACCTCAAACCTCCTCCCGACGACTCCCAGGGGTGACTGCGGGCAGACGGGCGAGCGGGGAGCGACGAGGCGGCCGCGACGGCGCACGGGGAGAGGCGGGGGGGCAGGCGAGGGACGGGCAGTCCGAAGAACCCCCCGCTCGGCAGCCCGCGCCCGGGGCGCTCGCAGTGGCGTCGGCCGCCAGGGCGGCGTCGGCCGCCAGGGCGGCGTCGGCCGCCGTGGCGTCGGCTGCCTCGGCCTCCATCTGGGCCTGCGCGGGCGGCGCATCAACGCGAGGGTCGGGCGAAACAGGGGTCAGGAATAGGGTGAGGAGGAGGAGGAAGAGGAGGAGGAGGAGGAGGAGGAGGAGGACGAGGAGGAGGAGGAGGAGGAGGAGGAGGAGGAGGGGGATGAGGAGGGCACGAAGCTCGGCGGGCCGGTTGGGCTATAACCGCGCCTAAGCCTGCATGCGATGGAGCGCGGCCAGCCTCACGCTGGCCCGCTGGTCGACGCCCACGGCCAGGCCCACGTCCATCCTGTGCTTCTGGATGTGGTAGCACTGGCACATGAGGCCGATGGTGTAGATGCAGTCCGCGATGGGCCGCTTCGAGTGGTACTGCTCGTCCCCGAGGCCGAGGAGCTCCAGGCCATTGCCGATGGCGTCCGCTCCCGCTTCGCCCGCGGCCATCGCCCGCAGGATCGGGCACTAGATGTAGTGCTCGAGTGCATCCTCGTCGTCGCAGCCGAAGATGCACGGGCGTGCGTCGATGACGGCGCTCATGCGGCGCGAGGTCGTCCAGCCATTGACCGCCGTACGCATCCACGACCACATCCAGGCTGGGCGGACCTCCGTCAGCTTGCTGCGCAGCGGAGGCCATCTCTCTCGAAGCACGGGCAGCGAGCACTCGACCCCCCATCTGCGCAGCCGACGGTGGAAGGTGGAGACGAGGTCCTCGGGGTACAGCAGGCCACGGAGCACAGCAGCGGCCGTGGCTTGGCGTTTGGGCTTCCTGGGAGGAGTGGCAGCGGCCGCCTTCTTCGTCTCCAGGAGCATCGCCGCCTTCGCCTTCAGGATGAACCTGCTCGGGATCGGGATCGTGATCGCGTCCAGCGTCGGTCTGGGGATGTCGAGCATGCCGTAGTAGTCCGAGATCATGGCGTAGTTCTGCACGATCGCCCTCCTCGTTCGCCACCACGGTGGGGACCAGTTGCCCTTGATCACATCGGTCAGCGGAACGTGTTCCACTGCAGCTTCATGGAGGTGGCGGAGGTGAGCTTCCCATCCACGCACCGTGTTCTCCGCTGAGCGCATCATCGCGGCGATCGTGTATGGGAAGAGGCCAATCGGCGATGGTGAGCCACACCACGCACTCAACGATAGGATGTCCGCCTTGCGCATGGACGACGGTGGCAAACGCAGCAAGCGGTGCAGGGAGGTGAACTCGACCTTCCAGATGGCGGGCACGATGAAGTAGAACTGGGCCAGGTACGACAGGCACGGCAGCGCGTTGATGTTGCACGCGCGGGCAGCAAGGCTGGTGGCCATGCCCGTGCGCGCCAGCTCCCAGCAGCGGGTCCACCACTTCCCCGCCGCGGCCTTCCAGATGCCAAAGTCCGTGACACCAGGGCCCAGGTGAGTTCCAAGGTACTTGGCCGAGGAGTCAATGCGGAAGCCAAGCCAGCGGGGGACCTCCTCAGCTAGGAAGGACTTGACGTTCTGCAGCGTGTCGTCCGTGATCTCCTCCCACAGCGGGACCAACGCGCACTTGTGCAAGGCCAGCTGCAGATTGAAGGCGAACTCAATGGAGACGAAGGTGCGGTCAATGCTCGGGAGGACGACCGCGTTCTTGATCAGCATCCCGAGATCGTCCGCGCAGGCCGTGAGGGATCCATGCTCGGCGATCGCGGCCAGCAGGGCACGGATGGGAGCATCCATGGCCAGGCACCAGACCGTGCCAGAGAGCGGGCATCCTTGCATGATACCGCACATGAGCGCAAACAGCGGCTCAAGCTCCGCGCTGGTGCCCTCGGCACGGAAGGAGCTGAAAGCGAGGCAGTTGCTGTAGAGCGCCACGATCACGTTGCGGAAGCCCAGAGGGACCCCGTAGCGCGGGAGGACCTTCTCGATGACTTCCCTGAAGAGCGATGGGAAGGCCTGGCGGAAGTCGAACGACAGGAACATGGGGCGGCGGGACGCAGCATCAGGAAGGAGGCCCTCCCTGCGGCACTCCGCGTCCAAGAATGGGATGTGGTCGACGAAACGCCGCCCAGCAGTGAAGCCCTTCTGCTCGGGTGAGGTAGATGATGTGGCGATAGGCTGGAGCCCTCGATCCGCGCAGGCCGCAATCCGCTTGGCGTCGCAGCTCTTGAGGGAAAGGGTGCGCACCGTGGATGCCGTGCGCGTGCAGGAGTCTGGGACGTCGTCCTCCTCCGTACCCTTGGGGACGCAGATGAAGATCGACCAGTTGAGGTCGAGCGGGGCAACTCCGTCGTTGAAGATGGCCTCCATGAGCCCGTGGAGATGCTGCAGCGCTCCAGGGCTGCGGCGCCAAGCTGCATACGTCAGCTGGTCAGGTCCCGCAGCGCTTGGTGGTGCCCTGCTGACCGCTCGTTCAAGGTTGTGAAGGGCGGGTTGAGGAAGTTCCACCACAGGGTTCCTCGGTGCATGCTTGTCCAGGAATGTGTCCAGTGTCTTGAGCTGCTCAGAGTTCGGCATCTTCGCGAAGATTTCACCCCAGTAGTTCGCCACAGTCGTCTTCATGCCCGCGGGATCGGAGACCACGTGCTGAGCGACCTGCGAGTCCTTGGCGGCACACGGGGCGGAGTCCACGCGCAAGCCCGAGAGGATCATGCGACGCCGCCACGGAACCCATAGCTGAGCGTGTCTGGCGGCCTTGCGTTCAACTCTCCGCCAGGCTGCGCTGTCGCGCACGTTGGCTGTCCGAGCTGCGGCCTCCGCCACCTGCCTTCTCATAGAGTGCACCCGCTCGGCGATGGCGTCGAAGTTAGTGGCAAAGCTGTTGGGATCCACGATGTGCACGAAGCCGTCGGTAACTTGGAGGTGGGCAGCCATCGCGGGGCAGGAGTCGAGGAGCCTGCCCGCAAGGACAGCGTCCTGTCGCCAAACGGCTCTCGCCGCCGATTTGAAGCCCATGTACGAGGTCTCGACCGAGGAGTCCTTGACGAGGAGGGAGAAGTTGGTCCTCAGCTGTTCGTCCCGAACACGTCGAGCAGCAAGCTTCATGCACTGCTTCGCTGCTCTCCAGCGACCTTCCGCCGTTTCCCCCGCTAGGGAACAGTGCGCCAGCATGAGCGAGTAGGCCTCGGGGTACTTCCTGTGGTTGAAGAGGTGCGTCGGGATTGGCTGCTCGTCTCGCGGGACGTGGCGAGCAGCAGTAATCTGCAGGACGAGGGGCGCGTGGTCACTGATACCAGCCTCGGAGAGCTCCATCGCATCCCTCGCGGTGGACAGGATCGTTGAGACCGACAGCATGGCGTGCGCGTCGATCCCCAAGAAGATGCGGTCGATCGTGGACAGCTGCTTGCAGGACTTGTCGTAGTGAGTCGGCCATTGGGATTCAACCTCCATGGCAGCAGCGAAGAGACGGCGCCACGCAGGTTGTCGCAGTTGGCATCGATGAACAGGTCGTAGGCGCCACGCCGTGGCGTCAGAGGGCGCCCGTTGACTGACTGGCGGACGGGAGGCAATGTTGAAGTCCCCGACGCCCAGAAAGATGCGATGTAACGAGTCGCGGCGCGCCCACGCCAAGCCACTGGACCAGGTGCGCTGAATGGCAGAGAACTCGTGCGGCTTGAGGTCGTAGTTGTGAATGTTGAAGATCTGCATGCTGTACTTGCCCGTGCTGTCGGCGATCGTGAGGAGCGCCGCGCGGCCGGCCGCCACTGTGTCACTGTGTCGAAGCGGTAGGACGGTAGGGCTGGAGTGGCGTTTCGTGAGCTTGACCGGGTGTAGTTCGGCATGGACATGGATGTCGATGGCGGGCTTCGTGAACTTGACCATGTGTCGGGGTGACTTGCAGCCGATGAAGACACGGAGGTACGCGAGCTTGACCAGGTATCTTGAGTCGGTAAGGATGCTGCAGGGGGCGAGGCGCACGCATGGGAACCCTCCCGCGGCGCAGCACCCCTGCTTCCCAGAGATTCGGCTCTGGGTCCTTCCGCCCTTGGACATTCATCGACGAGTCGAGGGGCGAGAAAGGCGACTCCACCCACGGCGGCAGAGGGGCCAGGGGAGAGGAAGCTCAAGTACTTCTGCGGCTGCGCCTGGAGGAAGATCCTGAGGGCGTCCTCGGAGCCGTGGACCTCTTGCACAGCGATGATGGCGTTGGCCTTCATGTACGATGCAAGCAGTGCCAGCTTGCGTCTGCGCAGCCTCGCGTCCGAGTGGAGCAGGCCACGGGCGTTCCACGCTACCATGTGAAGGCCACGGAAGCCATGTCGATCGCCAGGGGGACGCCAGGGCGCCCACAGCGGTGTGCTAAATCCACTCGGTATTGTCCTCCGCGGAGAAGGCCTTCTTGAACTGCATGTTGATGGATTCCCTGTCGATGTGCAGCCTGGCAACCATGTCTGGGTTCCACCTGATGATCGTGTCGGTGTAGCGGGATTCGCCCATCTCGAGCTTGGCAACCTTGACGCCCTGAGAGGTGACGATGCCACGGGCTCGCTGAGCACTGAAAGAGAGATCAGGATGAGCTTCTGCCAACAGGGCCGAGAGCCTCCTCGATTGGATCTCCATTCGCACTTGCTGGGGTGACTTGTCGGGCGAGATGTACAGCGGGACGGTGCCACCTCCGACGCTCTGAGCGCAGAAGGCTCGCCACCCGTTCCTGCCAGCAGGGTCTCGTAGCTGCCGTGCGAGAGCTTGGGCACGCGGTAGTGCGACACCGTCGCCACCCTGCACGAGGACGTTGAAGCGCTTGGAGGGGGCAGCAGGGTCGAGGCGGACCATGTCGTTGGTGAGGCCGGCAGCTCGAATCCACTCCTCGAGGCCTTGCAGCGCTTGAGCGGGACCGACCAACTGCGGCGCTCCGATCGAGAAGATCCGCGGGTTGGGTTGACGGGACCACGCCTCCAGCTCTTGGAAGTCCATGAGGGGCAGCTCCTTCTCCGCGAGGGCCAAGGCCTTGTTGATGTCGCCGATATGTTTGCGCATGGCGGCCTGCTCGGCCTCCAGTGCGTCGGCGCGCTGGCCGATGGAGGCGATGTCGCGCGTCTGCACTGCGAGGGATCTGTTGACGGCCTCCTGCT